TTTGCCTAAATAGATGCTTTTCTGACATGTTTATTTTTGTGAACCAGCTTAACATGTTCACTTTAAGGCCAATTGTGCCCCCTGGTGTCTGACTTCTCATATTTTCAATTACTGGAATTTAACCAGAGTTATTTGCTTGACCATTATTGGTAACATTTCAATTTGATATGCCCATATAATGAACTACTAAATTAAAACCAAAAATATAGCTCTTCAAAGATGACACATTAAATGCATGTGTTTTTTTAGTATTATGCAGTAGTAGTAGTAATGTTAGTATAGGAAAATGCTAATTAAAATGAACACTGTAATATGTGTAACCCATTTATTATCTACACTGTAAAAAACTTCCAATCTTAAAGATGGCTGCTTTTTTGGTATAAAATAAAGTATTGCGTTTTACTTAAAAGGTGATGTAAAAAGCAGTTAATTTAGATGTTATCATTTTTTTCAGTGTAAATCACTCTACAGTCGTTTCCTATGCTAATGCAAGTGGTCACATAAAGCCATATAAGAAAACATCCACATCAAACTTAAAAAAAACAACAGCATCAAATGTAAAATTGGCATTTCTAAGGCACTTATTCTCGTGTAAACATTGTGCTAATTACCTACTACCTAGCATTAGCGTTTCTATTATAAAACTGCATTTAAAAAGACTTGATGTGAAAAATATTCACTCAAAAAAGATGCTCACTGTAATATTAAGAAAACATCGTCAAAATAATTCCTTCTGTTGCCTAAGGTAATATAAATGTGTATCAGTGATTCAAGGGGTCATGACATTTTCTATTTTCAATGTTTATATATATATATATATATATATATATATATATATATATATATATATATATATATATATATATATATATATATATATATATATATATATATATATATATATATATATATATATATATATATATATATATATATATATATATATATATATATATATATATATATATATATATATATATATATATATATATATATATATATATATGAGCAATTCCAGCGTTATGGATGTGACGTTTGCAGTAAAAGCTCAACATAAATTCACATAGAAGGTATATGTTAACATTATATTGAAACATCTGTTTATAATTTCCAGAACTAACCACAGAGCTATGAAAGCAGAAAAACATCTATCTGTAAACATGTTTTGTACTTTAAATGAGGGAAATAAACATGCATTATGGATGTGACCAAAAAAGTCTGAAAGTTTACAGAATATAACATACTTTGTAAACATTCTGTGAATTAAACTGCACAACCCAAAAGAAATAATGATAAACAAAAGGATGAGAGTTGTCACTATCAAACAAAAAATATTGATTTTATTTATTATTGTTGTATTTATGAGGAAAAAAAGAGTTGTTATGCATGTGACATCTCTCCGTTATGGATTGACAAATGCTTGTGAGCATTTCTAAAGTACTTTTAAATACTTGATTGCACAAAAAATTTTTTTAAACGGGTTCCACATTTTGGTAAAAACTTAATTTTTTTTTTATGGCAAGGTTGACATTTGCATGGAATTGCTCATATATATATATATATATAGTTGTTCTTTTTTAAGCTGCTTGGCAATTGCCCTGTTTTTATATTCTGTCTCTCATAGAATCCCTCCTTAATTATCCATTTTTGAAGGGTGGGTCTCCTTTAATGCTCATCAATAAAAGGCCACTATTCTTACTGGCTAACATCTTTGCATAGGAAACATTATTTATGTTATTGCACAATAAATATTAATATTTTCATATAAACTGTCACTTATAGATGAAGCATTATCAAATTGTTTGTTTGTCTCCTCTACATGTCCATAATGTATCCACCATAGACACTTTTGGGGATTATAATTAGTGGGCGGAGCCAATGATAAAATAATGTATAACTACTGACAGCTTTCATCATGTGATTTTACCAACAGGGGAACACCCCTTGCCGGGCAAGCCAATGATACATCCTGCTGCCCACCAATTCACAAGGTCAGGGATTTCTCTTTTTTTTTTGCCAAAATACCAGACAGAAATGATCGATTGCAATAGGATATACTAAACAACAAGGAGACATGCATATACAAAATTCCTTTAGAGGAAAAAAAAGACAGAAAGCAGAAATTTGTGGCCTATTCTAATCTAAAGTACCTATATCTAGGGTTGTCACGATACTGGAATTCAGTACCAATTAATACAGAAATTTTAATAACGTCCATTTCCAGCTAACATTCGAGCATTGTTGAGTGTGTTCATTAAACAGCGCTGATTTGCCATTGTGTTCACATGCTCAACAAATGACAGTGATTGGCCGTGGAGGTCATCAGTTCACCAAACTCACCGATATTTACTGAGTTTAACCACAGATACGGGGACACTGGAGCGTTTCAATATCAAGTCGATCAGCTGGTTTGTCTATACGAGCGATCCGCTGATGACTTGCGGCTTTAAAACACTACAGTGTCCCTGTATCTGTGTTTACACTTAGTTAACAGAGGTGAGTTCGGTGAACTCATGACGTTCACGACCAATCACAGTCATTTCTGTTGAGCATGTGAACACAATGGCAAATCAGTGCTGTATAAGAACATACTCTACAGCGCTCAAAAGCTTGCGGCAAATGGACATTTTTACAAAAATTTCAGTATCGTTTGGTATCGAATTCCAGCATTGTAACAACCTCACCTATACCTGACTATTTTCTTCTTCTAATTAGCAGTTAAGTGCAGGTAAAGTACAAATTGAAGTGCAAAACAAAAGTATAAAACGCAGAAGTGAACAAATATATTGTATCTACCAGCAAATAGTAAATGAAACAGACACCAAATATAATGACTGAATCGAATGATTCTCCACAAGAATGATGGCTGAAAAACAGAGCAGGGCGCTGTATATGGATTTCAAGAGCCCAAAATGTACAGTTTGTGTTCATATCTCATTTTTTTGGTTCTGTTGATAAGTGATCTAAATATTTGGATCAGGTCATGTGACAAAAAAAAACAACCTACAGATTGGATGCACTGTTGCTCTGGTGGTGCATATGCAAATGTACAGTTGAAATCAGAATTATTAACCCCCCTGTATATTTTTTCCCCAATTTCTGTTTAAAGGTGCAATAGGTGATCTGCCAAAATGCTAACTGGTTAGCATAATATCTTTGAAACACAATCTCTCCCCTGCCAATCAAAGCCAAGCCTCCTGAAACACGAATCCGCGCAACTTGACAGCAGACAACCCACTAGATCAGGGGTTTCCAAACATGGTCCTGGAGGGCCTTTAACACACCTCCCTGGATGTTTCTAGTATACCTAGAAAGAAATTGGTTAGCTAGTTCAGGTGTGTTTAATTGGGGTTGGAACTAAAATATGCAGGACAACTGCCCTCCAGGACCGAGTTTGGACACCTCTGCACTGGATCATAATTTGCCAGTTAAAAAACTTTACAATACTTTAAAACACTATAACTATTTTATTTCTAGCACGATTTCTGTTGTGCAGCAAGCAAAACTTGTCAGAAAGTGTGATATTTCATGGATGTAAGCATCACTGGGGTCTCACTCTCTCACACGCTTTGTCCTAAAGCAACTACTGTATGCTTAGTGGTTGGCCAGCAGCGTGCAGGAATTACACTTATTACTAAGCCGAACTTGCATGCTATTTCAGACAGAATATTCAAAGTAGCGGTAAACAATATAGAAAGTGTATCATAGGCTGTCATTGTTCAAAAACGAATCAATGTGAATATAAAAGCAACTTCAGCTCAGTAACAAGAGCTGAAAAGAAAAAGAGCTATTTACTGAGGGTTTGTTGTTAAACTAAATAAAAATTGACATTATCGATGCTGTGAAAGGTCCCTTATGAAACTAAATATAGTTACATTAATCTTTTACCAGACGATTTCAGTGTAACAGGACTGAATTCGTAACACAACACAATCTACATCAGCTTTGCTTGACTAAAATTGTTTTAAAGCATAAGATTACCTGTCTAACAGAAATACTTCAGCCATGGTGTCATTCTTCCTCCAGTGAGCAAAACTAACTCCAATAATCGGGATTTTAAAAGGTTTTATTTCAGCATTTGTTTTTACCGCTGTCACTTTTGACCACGTGACCATGGCATGTTTGCAATGGCTGATCAGCATAAACAGAGGTGCGCAGTTGTTCAAACCTACATTTGAAGAGTTCAGATGCAAAAACCAGTAAGTGCCATCTGAAATTTCCATTGAAAATGAGCATTTTTGACAAGACTCCTATGTTTATTTTCAGTTATTTCATTTTGAAGACCTTTGGAGGAGCTTATTCTTTGCCAACATCTTGAAATAACTGAACCTGATAAAAATGCTCACCTTTAAAGGGAATGTTCAATGCTTATAGAGGTTTTTCCATCTGAACTTATTTGCTGACAGACAGTTTGGGCCACTAATCAGAATTATGGGAATTATTGGCCAGAAAATATAAAATCGGATGAACATTTTTTAGCCTTACGCCTCACCCAGAATATAACAATACATGTAAACACATTAAGATCATTTACTGTAATCATTACTATTGGACTGTGAAGAGACTTTCAACCAGCACAACAAAAAATATTTCTGAAGACAATCACCTACTGCACCTTTTAAAGGAAAGAGTTTTTTCAACACATTTCAAAACATAATAGTTTTGATAACTTATCTCTAATAACTAATTGATTTCATATTTGCCATGATGACAGTACATTTTTTTTGACTAGATATTTTTAAAGATGCTAGTATTCAGCTAAAAGTGACATTTAAAGGCATAACAAGGTTAATTAGGCAAGTCATTGTATAACATTTACATTTACATTTAGTCATTTAGCAGACGCTTTTATCCAAAGCGACTTACAAATGAGGAATAATTATTATCATGGTTTGTTCTGTAGACAATCGGAAAACAAATATTGCTTAAGGGGGCTAATAATATAGATTTTAAAATGGCTTATAAAAATTTAAAACAGCTTTTTTCTTGCCAAAATAAAACAAAAAAGACTTTCTCTAGAAGAAATTATTATAGGAAATACTGTGAAAAATTCCTTGCTCTGATAAAAATCGTTCAAATATTTGAAAAAGACCACAAGAGAGCTAATAATTTTGACTTCAACCACATGTGCCCGTGCGACATCCCATTCAACTTCATTTCCAAATGACCAATTTTATTAGAGCTTAACAAAATAAATGCTTTGCTAATAACGAGAACAATTTTAAAGCTAATAAATGTGCAGTTTGCTTTTATGGTACGAAAACCTCTAATAGTCAAAAGGAAATTTGACATCATGTCATGACCCCTTTCACACACACTGAATTGTTTTAAAAGTACCACAGGGGAGAAACCCCACTGAGATCCATGTTGTAGGGTGTTTGTAGTGTCTAACAGCAGCGTTTGGTGGCTGGAGGAGGCTGTCGGGTCAGCTTGAAGGAGTCGTGGCTGTCTGCATCAGTGTTCTCCAGTGGAGGGATCTGTCGACCTACAGCACAACAGACAGATATGAGAGCATTAAAGCTGTGCTTCAGACAATGAGGCGATATGCACAGGGACTTTTCATTTTAAATAAGACAACAAAGGCGCTTTCGGTGAACTGCCATGCCATTTTTGGTCAATGATCAAGTCAAATTACTTTTATTGTCCCATTACAAACAGCACGTGGACTTTGATGAGTGAAAAGTTCAGGTGCTGCCTCTACACAGTGCAAAATTCAACAACATAATCCAAAACAATATGCATTCACCGGCCACTTTATTAAGTACACCTTACTAGTATCAAGTTGGAGTCCCTATTGCCTTCAAAACTGCCTTAATCCTTCGAGGCACAGATTTAACAAGGTCCTGGGAATATTCCTCAGAGATTTTGGTCCATATTGACATGATAGCGTCACAAAGATGCTACAGATTTGTCGGCTGCACATACATGATGTGAATCTCCCGTTCCACCAAATCCCAAAGGTGCGCAATTGGATTGAGATCTGGTGACTGTGGAGGCCATTTGAGTACAGTGAACTCATTGTCATGTTCAAGAAACCAGTCTGAGATGATTTGCGCTTTATGACATGGGGAGTTATCCTGCTGGATGTAGCCATCAGAAGATGAGTACACTGTGGTCATAAAGGGATGGACATGGTCAGCAACTATTCTCAGGTAGGCTGTGGCATTGGTACTAATGGGCCTAAAGTGTGCCAAGAAAATATCCCCCACACCACCATCACCAGCCTGAACCATTGATAGAAAGCAGGATGGACCCATGGTTTTATGTTGTAGACGCCAAATTCTGACCCGACCATCTGAATGTTGCAGCAGAAATCAATGTTTTTCCAATCTTGTCCAATTTTGGTGAACCTGTGCGAATTGTAGCCTCAGTTTCCTGTTCTTAGCTGACAGGAGTGGCACGCGGTGTGGTCTTCAGCTGCTATAATTTATTTATTTTGAAACCGTGGCTCCTGGTCAACTATAATGCCGACTATACATTGCAGATCCTGCGATGCTGACCATTGCAAGGGCTCACATTGTGATATCGATGCTGATGCAGCCCTAGTTCTTAGTAACACTTACTGATTTTTTGGAACAGCTCCTCTATGTTTACAGCATTTCTGGCACTGGTCTCCATAAATATGGCTGCAATCGACTCTGCAAATTCTTTCGCCTCCTTAGTTGGAACTTCCCTAAAAAACAAAAGCAACGATTAAAAAATGAGTAAACAATCAGCTCGTTCTTTTCATGACTGAATTAAACATCAGAGGGTTTCCTGTAAATATACACTGTACAACCTGTAAAGCTCGAGTAATTATACTAAAGCAAAGACCAGCAGTTGGGAAAATTATATAAGGAAAGTGACTATAATTAAAGTTTTTTTTTTTTTTGCCACTGCTTAATTTCTCAGAAACAGGGTTGCCAGGATTTCGCTACAATACCAGCCCATTTGCCAAAAACCCAATAATATAAATAATCAAAAAATATGTCACCGCCCATTTGTAAAATACACATTTTACATTGCTGTATGGCAGGGGTCACCAAGCTCAGTCCTGCAGAGTTAAGCTCTAACTTGCCTTAACACACCTGCCTGGATATACAAAGGAACGTATATATAGTAAGAACTTGATTAGCTTGTTCAGATGTGTTTGATTAGGGTTGGAGCTAAACTCTGCAGGACACCAGCCCACACATTTATTGTATTTTTTCCCTCCAGGATCCAGTTTGGTAAATTCTTACCTTATGCATAATACACAATTTTTGTAGAAAAATGGTAGAGTAGCACATTTCAACACAATGAATGCATGTAATTATAATTGATGCAATATGTTTAACCCACAGAGAGAACAAAACAATCCATGTCAAATGGTTAAAAGAAACCTAATTCTGAGGGGAAAACAGCAGACTTGGCGACCCTGCTAACAAATTCAAAACCTTCAAATAAACTCCAATAATCACAACTAAAGTGGACAAAACAATTTTATTTCCACAAGGTATAATAAAATGGGATATTTGATGATGAAATGTTGGACATGAAAACATTAAGCTGAAAAATTCATGTCAAACTGGAAATTCTTAGCAAGAGCTGCTGGAGGTTTTGGAAAGAAACTTTAGGGCAGTGTTTCTCAACCACATTCCTTGAGGATCCCCAGCTTAGCATATTTTCAAAGTCTGTTTAACCAAACACACCTGATTCCGATCATCAGCTCATTAGCAGAGACTGAAAGAGCTGTAATTGGTGTGACAGGCAAAAGAGACATCCAAAACATGCAGTGTTGGTGGTGCTCCAGGAATGTGGTTGAGGAAAAACCAGGAAAATTATATTTGCTTTAGGAAAATAATATTTTTTAAGTGAGAAAGAAGAATTTATGAACCTGATGTCACCCAGATCGTTCTTATTTCCAGCGATGGCCACCACTATATCCTCCGGCCCGTGCTCCTTCAGCTCTTTCACCCACTTCTTTAACGTCTGGAACGAGTCCTGCAGAAACCAAACCCTCTTTTAGACTCCACAAAAAAGACATTGTTAATAAACACTCACTGGTTTTTGAAAGGTGTTACGACCCCAGTCACAACATTAAATGAGGGAAAAACACAAATGGATCAGTCTAGGGGTTTTATTAATTAAACAATCAAAATATAAATAAAGTGTGGGGAGGAAACACAATAAACACAGGCTGAGAACAAAAGGAGCACAACTCCACGTCTGGACGGCCGCTCAAATCCCCGTCTCTGAATCACTGCAGCACGAGCTCTTAAATAGCCGACGATGAATTGTCTGCAGGTGCGGAGGAAATCAACTCTAAATGAAAACACAACCAACAACACAACACAAGAGGGCGACAAAGTAACAAATAAATAAATAATAAATACATGGACATGTAACAAAAGGTTTCTGACACTTGGTGATGATAATAATAAAAAAATCCTAAATGAAAATGTAGTTATTGATTAAAAAACTTGCATTAAGCAGTTTGATTCAGATTATTTTCATTTTTAACAAGGGTTGGGCAATGTCGACCAATTTGGCATCATACGATGTCTAATGTGAAACATGGCGATGTACGATGGCATCATCATCGTAGGCGACAGTAGCCCCTTTCACACATACAGACCTTTCCTTTGGTTGTATGTGTGAACAGGTCCTTTTTGAAAATGCCGGTAAATTCGTTCTGGCTATTTTCCGGAAAGAGAAGTTGTAATATTACGGGTAATTTGCCGGAATGCTGCACTGTGTGAACGCAGAAGGAAGATTGCCGGAAAGAGCGTGTGCACGTCTAAAACGTGCTGATGTGAGACGTCTGCTTTAGCCAATCAGAACAGTCTGACGCATTCACGTCCGCGCGGTTTATGAGAATAAAAGCCTTTGAATATTTTCCCAGACGCATTTAGCTGCTAGAAGTTAGTCAGATAACGTTTATATGTTCTTCTTAATGCCAACTGTGTAAATAATCATCGATAAGATGCTTATGATAAGCCGTTGTTTGTTTACCTTCAAGCTTTGCGTGTGCCCTTGAAACAGCCTGTGAGCGCCTGCACACGCACATATTACGAACATCTCGACATGCGAAAGTGATCCTTCATATGTTTTCATCAAAGTTGTTCACAATACTGATAATCCACAGAGTTTGTAATTTAGTCAAATGTTTACAAATACAAGCGCAGCCGTTTAAAGCTCATTTGTGGTGAATGATGTCAGAATTTACCGGTATTTTGGAATGGATGTGTGAATGCTCTTTTCCGGAAAATTTCCGTAACGTCCTCGCGCTTTTTTGAATTTACCGGTAAAGTCGTTCCGGAAATTTTCCAGATATTTACCGGTATCACTGTGTGAAAGGGGCTAGTGAAATAATTATTTATGAATAATTATTGAACTCATAACAAAACTAATTATTTGTAGCCTACGCTTTCAACTACCTGATCCGCATGGTCTTTGTTTTACCTATAACCAAATAATAAATAAATAAAGATAAGTTTCACACAAATGACCACCTGTCAATCACTTTTTCTGTGGGACTCTGGCAGGAATAGGCAGATTGATCTGTGTCGTGATAATGGCGTCAACAAACTTGGTTGGTAAAAAAAAGCTGCACAACCAACAGGAACCAACCAACAGTATCTGAGATTTTCGTTGAAATTATTAAGTCCAAGCGTGAAATTTGAAAGATTGAAGCAGCTGTGACATGTTACCTGATAGATTCAAAAGACCAAAAAGTCGTTAGATAGAGACAAGATTAATTAAATATCACGTTTAACAACTATAGTGAGAGGCGATCCAGCAGTACATTCTTGATAAACTGGCCAATGTGCACTGCTCTCTGGGGTTGTGCTGAAAGTACCCGCTAACTGCTGGAGCTAAGATGCGCGCATACGCTGCGCCATGACAGAGTGTGTGTGTGTGTGCTCACATGATACATTCCACAGTATAGTGAGAAAAGACGGCTTTTCATAAATGCTAGGTAAAACACCAGTGTGCACATGGATTGTTTTCGTTCTAAAATGCCATTTTAAAAATAAGACGTATTAGTGTAACCTAAGTGTGTGTTTTTCACGAGTGGGTTGCTGGGGCGGGGTGGTGGATTGTGATGCTGGCTCAACATCGTGATGTCTATCGGCCAACGACTGTGGATGATGGCATCGTCTATCAACTCAGCCCTATTTGTAACAATTTTTTGTAAGTTTCGGTTACTTTTAATAGAGGGCCAGAAATCTCTTAGGGGCCGATCAAAGGTGCGTTTTGCAAACAATTATGCAACTCGCGGCTGAACTATCATAGTACGATGCATCGTTTGGGAAAAGAACGATGTAGTGACGAGTGTTTGCCAAAACCTGTAGTTTCTCTGTCCCAGATCCACCGTTTGAACCAAGTTATTCATAATGTAAAATGCCCACAATGAAGCACTAAACAGGGTGGCAACAACTTCTTTAGAGAAGAACGCCATCATTTCTTTGTGCAAATTATATTGTTTTACACAGTCGCTGGGATAATTAGGTAAAAAGAAATGCATATTATAAGACAATGAAAGGGTTTTTTTGACCTTGCATGCAGATTAGCCCGTTGTTGGTGACCCCCAAAACCAAAATATGACCCTTTTTTAATGTATTATAGGGGATTTAATGTATAATCTTAAAAAGATTACATTTGTGACTTTGCAAAATACGTATTTTCTCAATTATCCATTAAGTTTTGAACTAGAGCTGGGCTGATAAACGATATTATATCAAATCTCCATAAAACTTATGTCAATAGCAGTGATACGCTCTGTACTTTTTTTACTGATCCAAGGGCCAATCACACAGCATAAAATGTACATCAATGGGAATCTAAAAGTGTGTTGATATTAGAAATGTGCGGAATTTTCGACCACCGAAAATGTATCGGCTGAAAATATGTTATGCCATTTAATCGACCCTCTAATTCTTGTGGCTTCAGTCATTGTTGGGATATTCTTTTAAATCTGGATGCATTAAAAACTTTCATATATAGAAATATATATCATTATTGTTCAATATGGAAAATAATTATTGAGACAGCATTTTTGCCATATCGCCCAGCCCTACTTTGAGTACATCTCTGGAAATAAAGTTTGTAAAAAGCTCTGTTTGTATTAGTGACACACAAAAACTACCTGAACATCAAAGAGTGCCAAGGTCATTATAAAAACCTTTTTAGTAAAGAACAGAAGAACATGCTTTTAAAACAGAAACAACTTGGAAATAAATTGCACAAATACAAAGTAATACAACTTACAAGCTTTGTGATGTCATAAACAATGACAGCCGCTGCCGAGCCTCTGTAATACATGGGAGCCAGGGAATGAAACTAGTAGATAAAAAAAGATGAACTGTCAATGCAAAAAGCTTATAAAGATTCTATAATCGATGACTAGATTGTAATTAAAAGGTTGGTTCACTCAAAACTGAACATCCTGTCATTATTTACTCTCCTTTCACTGGTTCCAAACCTGTTTGAGAATCTTCATTCTGCCAAACAACAAAAGATATTAGCTGAAACCCTGCAACCATTGGCTTTAATGGTTTTTGTTTTTCCTGCTATGGAAGTCAATGGTTACAGGCTTTCAGGTTTCCTCAAAATAGCTTCTTTAGTGTTCGACAGAAGACGAATCTGAGTAACACTTTAGTTTAGGTCACATTTCACAGTATTAACAATCCATTAGCTAACACTACTAGCTTAATAAACTAATTACCGTTTTATTAATAGTTAGTAAGGTAGAAGTTGGGTTTAGGTTTTAAGTAGGGTTAGGGATGCAAAATAGAGGGTTAGGGTAATAACGCATTAATCATGCTTTAAACTACTGATGAACGGTTCGTATCTTAATAATAGACGAATTTTGTAAGTCAGTTTGACCAGTTTGTAAACATTCAAGATGCGCTCGCAGCGAGGTTAGCAGAAAAAACCAGGAGCGCTAGCATTTACAGAGAGGAATTGACATCTGATGCAGTTTGTTTGTTGTTTTATTAGTTATGGTAAAACTTAAGTTTTCTATTTTTGGACTTTCGATTTTGGCATCCTATCGCACAACACAACATGTTTACTATTGCAACCGGTCTCTTTTTGCAACCAGTATGCGCGGTTAAACCCGTGTGACATCATGCATGACGTAGGTTGGTAGTTCCCCTATAGATAGGTAATAAGTCAGTAGTAAACAGCACGAATTGTGACCTAAACTAAAGTGTTACCAGAATCTCAAACAGGTTTAAAGGCGGAGTAAATGGTGAAAGAATTGTCATTTTTGGGTGAACCACCCCCTTAAAAAAATAGAAAACATTCGGTTAATTAAAATCATGCAGTATTACTGATATAATAAAGCGAATTGAGATGATTGAGGTGGATTCAGTTCAGACATTTGGTGTAAAGAAGTAAATGTCAGTGACGTCAGAGCGAGTTCAGAGGAGACACATATTTTCCGAGTGATCTGAACAGACACACATTCTGACAGTGAACATACAGACGTGAACACAAAGTGACGCCAGCACTTCCTAAACACACACACACACACTCTTCCACCACACCCAATGACTCACACCGACTGTGAACTCTGAACTGGTCTGAAAATTAAATGAGATTGCTTTAAATACAAAATGATGTCAAGTGTCACACAGAGGTCTGACTTGCAGTAAATCTGGCCAAAGTTAATAGTTCATCTAAAATTAAAAATGACTCACAAGGTGATCCAATCTCAAATGAAAGAATTTAGATTTGTTTTTTAGAGTGAATGAAATGAAATCCTAAAGCTCTCTCATTTGTGTTTATTTTTGCACCCTGCACTGCCCTGCACGTTTTTGCAGTTGCATGCTGTGTGCTCACAGTTGAAATTAAAGTCAACCCTGAGTGGATTTTTTAAGAATTAAGATTAAAAAAATTTATGTTTCAATCAAATGAAAGCAGAGGCAGGGTTTCCTTTGAGGTGACAGCAGTGTTTGTGTTGTCAAGAGGACTACATAGACTTTTGAAGACAGAGTAGACAGTAGTGGTGGCTGTTTCAAGTTATCCAGAGCTGTATTACTTTACAAATCTTGAATATCACAATATTGTTAAATATTACAATTATATGTCTGGGAGAACTGTTTTGTATCTTGTAACCAAATGATTCATTATAAATTAATTTTCAAAGTGTATGCCACCCCCTACCTGTTATTTAAAAGGAAAAGAAAATTAGACCGCTTTTGTCAAGTATGCAACAACTCCACACAAGGTACTTTTATACATATGTTCTGGGGATGTCCCAAACAGGGGCGGACTGGCCATCTGTCAATTCTGGCAAATGCCAGAAGGGCCGGACCATTTTTTTAAATGTGGGCCGGTCAGTTTTTTATTTTTATTTTATTATTATTTTTTATATGTATTGTTTTTACATGCAGGCAGCTTTTATCTCGTGCAACATGTGAATATTATGATGACATTGATGATGGTAATAATAGTAAATGTTAAGCATTTGGCCCAATCGGTGATAGTTTCGAGAGGGGCCGACTCAATCAAAGGTTACGCGGAGATAATCAAAATCTGGCAAGAATGTCAAACAAACAGTACGTATGGTAATGTGGGCTGGTGTGGCTATAGTGCCAGGGCTGAATTTTTGTCCCAGTCCGTCCCTGGTCCCAAAATTGCACTATTCTGTATCAAGGTACAAGACTTTTTATCAGAACTAATGGAAACTCGGATCCAATGCGACCCATTGCTTTTTCTTATGCTGGACGATTCATCACTCTCCTTATCCATCAACTAAAAAAAGGACTCTGTCAGTTGTTCTGACTGCTGCTGCTGCAAAAAAAAAACAATCCTGAAACTATGGCTGGATCCATTTGCCCCAACTGATCTATCCTGAAGGCTTTATCTACAGGACATTATTAATCTGGAATACACCACAGCCAAAATAAAGTCAGTAAAAAAAAAAAAAAAAAAAAACTTTACAATTTTGGTCAAATATGAAAGAGACCGTATCATTTATGTTTAAATCCTGATTTTGTACTAACTATTACAATATTACTGTGTTTATTTTATTTTACATTCTGTTGGGTGGATCCCGGGCTTTGTTCAAAATCAAAATGTTCAATAAAAAAAAAAGACTATAATATATATATTACAATTATAACAACATTGATATATATTACAATTATAACACTCATGCACAATATCTTAGTTCCTATATATATATATATATATATATATATAAACAAAAAAAAAAACAAAGAGTAGCGCTTCTTTTTTTCTTGTCAACATAAAAGGTGGTGTGGTGCGGCTCATGTTTTTGGAACTGTACTAAATTCCTTATTGAGTGTTAAACAGATGAATTAACGTGCGCTCGCTCTAGGTGGGCGTGTTCAGAACACTGACGGCAGTCTGTCAGTAATGGTCTAGTTTGCATTCATTTTCATTCTCTCCTCATATTGATGAGTGGTAAACGTGCGTGCATGACTGTAAGTTGATTTATGTTCCGTTATTAGTAATTCTGTTTATCATGTTATAGTAATCCTGCTGCGGCACGGCCGACTGATATTATTATTAGTTCATATTGGAGTTTATAGAATGTAAAAGGATGACTCGCGGCTATTTCCCGCGTATATATTTCTGTATGTTTTATATTCACGTTAATTTAAACTGTATGCTGAAATGAATATTTGTGTTACTGTATACAGATAGATCTTGATATTTATTTATTTCAGATAAAACCACACCTGTTACCACCTCTGTTCATTTGAGAACTGTGAAATACTAGAGGATGTAAAGTGCCACATTCTGAAGAGATAAAACATAAATAATCATCATCATCTGTCTCCTGTCACGCTTCTTACTGGGGCTCCGTAGTGGACTAGCAGTCCACCTAGAGAAAAGAACATTACAATCCTTTACAGGAACAAAAAAGCATGTTCGGTGTGATCGGCCCCTAAATGTGCAACAAATATTTGTTAACTCGTGGGACAGTAACACGTGCAACTGCACGTGCCTACAGTTGTTTTTTGCCAAAGTACAAAACAAAAGAAGGACATTTCTGGTCACTGTTTGACAGACGATTTGATACCAAACCAGCGCTGATGCTAATTGCCTCTGTCCTGGATCTGCTCTGATCATAAACTCAACAAATAGGCTATTAATGATTTAGTGTTCAACCAACAAACCAACCTTTTTTTCCATTTGGAAAATTACAGTTATTAATAGTTCTTATAAAATATCCATTTTTAGAAGAGCCTACATAGTCTAATCTACCAATCAAACAAATCGACAGATTATCATTATTTTTGCATAATGATAACTCTGCACCAAACTGAAGCTTTATTTTACAGCTTATAAAACATGTATGCAAATAAATGCAATATCATACGTAAACAACAAAATTGTTACATACTATAGTAGCCTATGCTTTACAAAAATTCGACATTTTTGCTTTTACTTTTCTATTAAAAATGTTGACAGAGGCTTGTGATATAGGAATAATAGCGGAGCATAAATTAAATGCATAGGCCTATTTTCAGTGGAGCGACAGATTTGAGGTAGCCTGCTATTTTTATTTGACAAAAAAAAAAGAAAAGGAAAAAAAAAACATGGTTGGACAAACAGCCTATGCCGGTTCTTAAAAGGATTCAGTCAGTGTTTTGGTTTTGTAAGCTAAATTTGTCATTTAAGTAAAAAGTATCTAGGGCATGCCTATTTATTTTATTCTTTTTGTTTAGTTTATTGTGTTTTTCTATGCTGTTGGAAACACTGCAGGTGTGTGAAGATGCTCTGTTGTTCTGTATGCTGTTGTTTGCATGTTAAAAGAAATCAGGATTTTAAAATGCAATATTAATTGTGTCACACAAAAGACACCTCAAGTATTATTTTTTTATTAAATATACATTTTATATTAATCTGACAAGTTAACTGTTACTATTCGGATAACAAGCGGCGGTTGTCGGTTGGCAAAATTAACGGAAATGAGCATTCCTACTGCTTGTTCAAACTACTCATTTCAAATAAGCTAAAACAACACAATTCGTAAGGCTTTTTTTATGACACTTAATTGTTTGATCTTCAATTGACCTAAATTTGTAAAAATTATTTAGTTAACAATCAATTTGTGTTGGGACTGACACAAAGACTGACAGACAATAAGGAGCTGCGTGGAACACAGCCTTTTTTACAGTGTAATTATCACATGTCTTAAAGCAGACACATCTCACGTTATTACGGTTAATGACATCTCAAAAGTGTTTAGAACCAAAACAAACTCCCCCAAAAAGTTCGCTTTAAACTGGCAAAACAAACTCAAATTAGCATCATTTCAGTTCTTTTTGTGATTTTGTTGTAAGTATACCAGGGCTTTTATTGTTTTCCTGGTGCACAAAAGTGTTTTGGGGCTTTGTATGATTTCAGTGAACCACTGAAGTCACATGAAATATTTTGACAATATTCATCTCTGTTTCTTTTCTGGACTTTGAACGTCTCTAGACATTTGTTGTCTATGTAGGATGAGAGAGCTCCAGGATTTCATCTAAAATATCTTCATTTGTGTTCGAAAGATGAACAATCGGTTCAGGGGATTGGAATGTCTTGAGGGTGAGTAATTAGTAACAGAATATTTATAATTGTTAATAATTACACACCTAAATTCCAATTCCCAATAAAACAAAACACACACTCACCCGCTCTTGTCCTGCAGTGTCCCAGATCAGAAATTTGTGAAGTTCATTTCCAGAGGGGACGGTCTTAGTTAAAAATGATGCACTGAAAAATAAAATCATACATTATGAATAATAGTTAATAATAAAATATGTATTTCTGCATTTACATTTATTTATTACACAATTATACATTTAAAAAAGCATAATCACTTCCACTTTACCCATTTTTGACCATCTCCTGAATCACGCATTTATAATGAAATAGTCAAGTCTGTTATTCGTCTTTTTGTGCGTTTACTCTGCTACATTACAGAAATATCTATTCCCGGGGTGTCCACACTCGGTCCTGGAGGGCCGGTGTCCAGCAAAGTTTAGCTCCAATCCCAATCAGACACACCTGGACTAGCTAATCAAGCTCTTACTAGGTTTTCTAGAAACATCCTTGCAGGTGTGTTGAGGTAAGTTGGAGCTAAAATCTGCAGGACTCCGGCCCTCCAGGACTGAGTTTGGACACCCCTGATCTATTCGCTATATTATTTGCGATTTCAGTTATAAAAAATTCATTTGGTGTCTGTGTCTGCTTTTTGGTCAACTACATGCCCGCAGCCGGGGGGGTTTACTTGTTTCGAACTACCCACCCCTACGGTTAAAAGGTCCAGAGTTTGTCCTTTTAATTATTTTATGTAATTATTTTAAAGCCGCAATAATGTGACGCGTCACATGACATAACCCACTGAGTGGTAACATTTAAATCTTTAAAGCGACATCCATACTGAGGATGAACTGACTCAGTGCAAGCTAACACATATCTGTGATTCAGCATCTAAATTTAATAATTTTAAAGAGGTTTAATATGTATTAATTACATAATAAAACTTTTGTTGGAGTGCAGTGAGTCAACTATTCTGTGTTTCTGAATGGCTGTATTTAAATGTTTCTGTCATGTTTTGTCTGGTGCAAACAGCCAAATTGCTTATCACTGCAAATCTCTACACATATCGTGTTAGGACATGGGGTTACAATGTAACCTGCTCACCTAATGTTTACGTTTGCAATATTTATATTATATTATGTGCAACTCTGAATCTCCGTCTCATTTTGGAGTCTGTTACTGTCAACCGGAGGTCGCATTTTAGTAGAGGGCACATGCTTTCAGAGCCTTCTTGGCTGACTGAAATACGTGGTTTTCCAACAGTGCAACCCGGGGTGCTGAAATATAATTGGCTAAACTGGCAGTGGGCGGGTTATAAGAACCAAAACACAGACATATGTTCCGGCACGTAACTCACATTTTCAAAGCAGAATATCTGACTTCAGCGTTGTTTTTCAGATGAACAAAAATATTCACTTAGCCTGTTTCTTAAATATCTGCAAACATATTATGGTATTTTTATGCTTTAGAAGAGCCAAAAACTTACATACAGCACCTTTAATATTAACTTCAATTTACTGTGAATTGAACATTTGCTTACATTAGAAAATGAATGGAACATAGCCGCATTTCTAGAATGAGACTTGTACATACTTATTTCTAAATTACCATGATTCACTCATGTACATTCAGAAAACTCAAAGAGGAAATTACATTACAGTACATGCGACTACGTTTAAAGCAACCAGACACTACTATTTTGTAAGTGTCTGCGTAAGTGAAAAATCATGAAAAACAAAAACTCTAAAAATATTGCCCAGCCATCTAAATGTAATGACTAACCCAACAGAGAGAAACCAGCATAAACAAATTCGAGAGGAAACCAAACTCCTTCAGAATCAGCGGTTTAAAACCGCCTGTTTGACTCATAAAGAAATATTTAGGCACAGATATGCCCAGCTGAGCAGAAAGACAGAGCTCACATCCTCCATATGAGCTGACGGAGGACATTTCGTCATCTCAATTAGGTGCCACATGTTTAGTAAACAGAAGCACATACCCTATTGTCGGACTAATGTTGTGGTCAAAGTGATCTTGAACAAACCGACACACGATACTCGATTTCCCCACACCAGTGTCCTGTGGATATTACAGATGAAACACAAATATCAATTAATTATCTGCCACAGATACACTGTTAACAATTTCCTGTAGAATCTTGCGTAATTTACTGGCAACTGGTAACAGCAAAAATACTGCATTACATTTGCAGCACCATTTATCTTGCTCTATTTGTATTGACAGTATTGCATAGCTTCACAGTAAAATACAGTCATTTTTACAATGCAACTTTAAAATACAGTAAAATACTGCACAACTGTCCTGCAGTAAAATAAAGTGGTTTAACGGATCACAAATCTCACAGTTCGGATCACATTATGTTTTTTAGTCATGGATCAGACCATTTTTGGGATCAGCCATAACGGGGAGGAGACAAATGTCTTTTGCTTTGCATTTATTACATTTATTAAATAACAACTTTTGGTTTTAACAAGCAGAACTTAGAACCCGTAATTTTATTAAAAATAAAATAAGGAAATAATCAGCTAAATACAAATAAACAGTAAAATATTCAGTACTGTGAAAAATTCATGGTTACTGCCGGGGTGCGAATTATACATTGGCAATCAGGGGAGTCGACTTTTTTGTTAAGTTTTCATTGAATCATTTGCATCTATTTATTTAAATGACATCAAATTTATTAATAAGGGTGCTTTCACACCTGTAGATCGCTTCTCCTGTTTCGAAACAGATTAAAATTGCTACAAATTTGCTCTTTGTTCTTGGCGCGGTTTGCTTTCACACGGCAAAGTTTCTAAACTAACCAAAAGAGCTAAAACAAGTCACGTGCGAATAAACTCTCCTCACATTGGTCAGAGTTTCACGATAGATTTTGCAGAGGCCTGCTCAGCGGTCATGCGTCCTTATTTTAATTTAAGACGACAAGCAATAAGACAATATCAGCGAAAAGCTGCACTTTTATTTTGATGGTGATGCAACTCAGACATTGTCACCAAATATAAATCAGAGGTAAGACTTGCTCATACATAACAGTTGGGTTATCTGCATTAAAGGCTTTACATTATAGAGAGAAAAAACAGATAAACTAAGACTGCTGTTCGTCAATTTTCCTAACTGATAAACAGCTCTCGTTAATAGTTCAGCATGCTTTCACTTCTGTATGTTACATAAAACGCACATTTACCAGTAGGAATGGCATCCCGCCCTCCTCATAATTCTCTCTTCATATAGCCGTATATATGACTATGACATATTTATGATACACTGTGATATAGCCGGGGTCGGATCAAATCACTTTCTCAGTACAATCGATCCGCTCCAGAGTTCGTTTCAATCGAGCCGAGACACCTTAATCAGGCGATCTCGGACCGATTGTTTTGGCGCGGATGCAAGCGCGATTGCTGGATTGACATATGCCAAATGAACCGTGCTAACAGGAAACGCGCCAGGTTCAGAAACAAAAGTGTAGGTGTGAAAGCACCCCAGACGTATTTAAGTTTTCAATGTTTTGAGGAATATTAATGTATTCTGACATACAGTAACCTCTGATTATTTCAGAGGTTACTGTAGCTCAAATTATTCAAACTAAGCATCTGATTTTACTTTTAGGCTATATATATATATATATATATATATATATATATATATATATATATATATATATATATATACACACACACACACAACACACACATATATATATATATATATATATATATATACATACACACACACACACACACACACACACACACACACACACACACACACACACACACACTTATATTCACATTTTTTATATTTTTTTAAAAAAAAAATATATATATATATATATATATATATATCTCTCTATCTCTCTATATATATATATATATATATATATATATATATATATATATATATATATATATATATATATATATATATATATATATATATATATATATATATATATATATATATATATATATATATATATATATAAAAACCTAACCTATTAATTTAAGGTAGAGTACAGTGTACTGTAAGTAAAATAAACAGACAGTTTTAGGCTGCAGAAATTCAATTTGTGTTTATTATCTCTTAATGAACAAAGGTAAAAGGCTTTTGTTAGAAGTTTTGTTAGTCTCA